TTGCTGATTTATTTTTCAGCTGGCTACGGGGCCTCCCCTCCCGTGCGCTCACTTGCTGGTCCACTCCATCTATTCCTCTGCTTTTGTTGAAATCCTCCCCTTTCGGAGGGCAGGGGATATTGGCGGCCTGACACCGGGTCAGTTCCAAAGGGACGTGGAAGAGGGCAGTTGAGAGAACAGAGGAAGAGCCAGATCTTGAGCATCCGTGGTAGACCCGGGGCGCCTCGGGATCTGGTAGCGACCCCCTGAGTAAGGACACGAGATGGGACTGCCTTTCGACAGCTTTCTCTTCACAGGCAACAATTCCCACTAACCAGGCCAATAGGTGTGACTTAGGGGACCTGGGGAAGATCTCACATTTTAATTCTCAGTGAATCAGAAACAACACACACACACACACACACACACACTCTGCGCGTGCGCCTCTTAGGACTTCCTTAATAAGGTATTTTTTAAACCCTATGGAATTGGGAAACACATCCTAGGAGATGGAAGAGAGAGCCTTTAATCCCACCAGCCCATTGGAGAACACCATAGAGTCCAGTAGAGACCGTAGAGACTCCCTTAAAGGAGGGGGGGGGGGCTACTGCCACAAATTACGCCAAAGGCAAATTTACTGGCCTGTTTGTCTCCAGCATCAAATTTCCCAAGCATTCAGCCCTCTCTAAGGCCCCTTCACCCTCACCCCCCCCCCATTCACTTTAGTTCTAGGACTTAAAGTTAGACAAACAGACCCCTTTGTCGGCCGTCTCTGGAGGCCCTAGGATTCAGAGAGGCCTCGGGGCCCGTGCTCGGCTCCTGGGTTTCCCAAAAGTTCTGGACAGTTAAAGTGACTCGGACTCTGGGAAAAGCCTGTTCCTGGGAGAGTTGGGAGGTGAGAAGAGGGGGAGAGAAGGTGGCTGGCTGGGCATGGAGCCAGGGCTTCTGCGGTGCAGGCCGGGCGAGCCTGGCACTGCTCTTCTGCTCACCCAGGCCAGCCCTCCTGCCCGGCCCACAGTGGCGCAGCGGCCTTTCTGCCTGGAACCGCGCTCAGAGTTTCCCCCACAAATACTCAACTCCAGCTTTCCCGGTTATTTTAGACTTGTTTTGAATAAAAGGAGTCGCTTCATAAAGAAATGTTGCCACAACACACAACCAGCGGCCTTTTCCCCCAGCTGTGTCTGTAACTCGCATGCGTTCAGTCTAATAACTTTTAATGTCTAGCCTTAAAACGTCTTTATAAAAAATAGCTTTACAGCATAATAGTCCAGGTGTCTTTCTGCTTGTTACAGGAGATTAAAAAAACGTGTAGATTAGCTTTCAGAGACACCCATCCCCCAGAAAGACCAGGAAGAAAAAGGGCATGCATTCCATTCTGCAGGCGCGGGTCCTGGACGCATTAGCAGCCCAGCATGGCTAGGCACAGCTCACTGGCCGGCCTGCCCTGCCGTCTTTTGCATCAGTTGTTACAAGCAGCTCTGGAGCATGAAGATTTAATTCTGCTCCAAGTTTCGGGTTTCAAACGGTAGAGATGTTTCACTTCTGCTTTGAGAAGGGCTGTTTTTATAACTATGTGCTGAGAACTAAAACAGAATGAATAAAATTGCACCTAATATCAGTCCCACAGTCAGTAGTGGGCCTCATTTTTAAAAGGGAAAATATCTTCTAGCTAGAGATGATTTTGGCCTTGACCTTGACTTAGTAATCAACTTGAGATGCTTTTGATTATTTTTTTGGCATGTGGACGCTCCAGGATATTTAAAAACTTTCCGTGTGGGTTTACTAGCCACTTCCATTTCGGACTTTGGTTCTCATCAGGCCTGCACCATCCTGTCCCTAGGCAGAGGAGATACTCCACCCCCTTCCCAGAATCAAAAGACCCCATAGAACCACCGAATAGGGTCACCTTTGGCCTCGGTGTCAGAGCTCCCAGCCTGGGTGCCCTGACTTCCCTTCCCGCCAGCTTCACGGAGCGGAGCTGGGTTCGCCCTTGAGGCTCTGCGCTCCGGGGAGGCCGGAACCTCGCTTCTCGGCTTCCCCCTTTCGCTTGCCTGCCCTTCCCCCTCCTGGCGCCCAGAGCTGCTCCGGGTGCGCTGTAGAGGCTCAATACGTGTCAATTGAATTGAACTGCTGCGGGCGCAGGGCTGTACGCCGCCGCCGAGCCCGGATCTGCACGACGTTACCGAGTGGAAATTTATGTGCTGAACGGTGAAGCCAAAAGTTGTTCCCGGCCAAGTAAAATAAAACGCGGGAGATCCTCTCACGAGGCCGAGGTGAGAGATGAGGGCAGACCCTCCAGCCATCCGAGGTCCGGGCCGGGAAATGCTAAAGAACTGGGAGGGACTCAGCCGCATCCCAGATCCCTTTACGGCCCTCCCACCCCCTGGTGCCCCCAGGAGCAGCCTTCCCCGCCCCCCGGACAATTCCCACACAATCGATACGTCCGGGGTGTGTGTGTCTGTGTGTATATAAGGGCGCGCGGAGTTAGGACGCGGAACGGCCACTGTTGCCGGTGGTGGTGTTTACGTGGAGCTCCTCGGGGAAGAAGGGGCGAGGTAAGGTGGTTGGACGCCCGCGAGCACTCAGGCTCTGCTGGGCTGGGTCTCGGAGGGGACGCGAGGCCCCGAGAGCGCAGCACTGGTGGCGAGAGGCGGCGGTGGCGCCTGCCTCTGGGGTTTGACAGCTTTGGCTGAGAGGAGTGCGAGGCGCTTTATGGTAATTGCGGTCCTCCACTGGCCTTCTGGGTAGCAAGGGGAGTCTAGGCGCGCAGCAGGGAAAGCCGCCCCCGCAGCCCCCCATTCTTGGGGCCGGGGATCCATCCGTTGGCCGACCTAGCCTTGGCCGCCTCCCCAGTCGGTCTCCACTTCCCTAGGACGTGAGCCCTGGCTGGGCGTGAAGAGCCAACTCGGCCCGAGCTGGGACGGAGAGGACGGTGGAGTCGGGGGGGGGGGGTCGACGACACGACTCCGCCACCCAGGTGGTTCGGGGTTCGGATGTGCTGAGCCCCCGATGCACCCGGGTGGGAATCGGTGAGGGCCGGGGAAAGTCGGGGGAACCTTTTCCCGGGGAATCACCCCCTCCCGAAACCCCACCGAGGAGGCGCCGCAGCGGAGGGTGAGCGGAGACTGGGGAGCTCAAACTTGCGAGAGCTGGAGGCGGCGGCGGGCGGGCGGCTGTCGCCCGAGCGCTGCGCCGGAGGGGGGAGGGGAGGCGGCTGTTGGGAGGGAGGAGGGCGGGCGGAGGGAGGGGGAGGAGGAAGAGGAGGGAACCTGGGAGGGGGGACGCGTTGGGATCGCGGCGTGCGGCGGCAGACGGAGCCCGGGCTCCCAGCGGCAAGGTGAGGCAGAGCCGCGCTCCGGGCTGAACGGCGACCGAGCTCTTCGGCCGAGGGGGAGACGCGCCGGAACCCAGACCGCGACCGAGAGCGGGAGCGAGGCGGGCGGGCGGCGGCGGCGGAGGGGGAGCACGCGAGCCGCCGGGCCGAGAGCCCGAGCCGCGCTGTCGCCGCGCGGGGACGACTTGGCCAACACACTCGCTCACACACACTCACACACACACCCAGCCCGAGCGGGCGCTCGCGGCGAACCGTCAACATGGCGCTGGGGCTCTTGCCCGAGCGCGGGCGGCAGCGGCGGCGCGGGAGCTGCTGAGGCTGCCGGAGCCCCGGTCCAGCTGCGGGAGGAGAGGATCGCGC